ACATTTGTGGATCATAGTCCTTAACAGGCTTGTTTCTGTTCGCTGCTGTCCACCTTTCTGGGAAGTGGAACGGAACAATGATGGAGCCGGATCTGGTCTGAGGTGGTAGGATATCACAAGGATGCAAAGACATTGTAGTATTCCCTTCCTGGAAACATCCAAGGGTTTAGCATCCCCTAATTAAATAAGACATACGACAACAATGATAAGCAGAGTTCTTTCACAGTTGCTTTCCCAAAAAGAACGATAATACACCCATCAGTCATGCTAACAGCAGTGGAGGTGAGTGACCAGTGTATCCGCATGGTCTCCCAAAGGGGAAAAAATCATCTGTGCTCCCATCTTCCTACGCTGTTGTTAGACAGCCAATGGTGGCTCCACAGTGCTACGGAACTGTACATCTTAGGAAATCAGAATGAGAAATTACTGGCATGCACTTTGGAGAGGGGACACTGGATAAATTCTTGTGAGAACTTATGAGTTTTTTTGTTTGTTTTTGAGACAGGTTCTCACTTTGTTGCCCAGGCTGAAATGCAGTGGTGCAATCTCAGCTCACTGCAGCCTTGACCTCCAGGAGCTCAAGCAATCCTCCCACCTCAGCCTCCCAAGTAGCCGGGACTACAAGCATGCACCACCATGCCTGGGTCATTTTTTGTCTATTTTTTTTTTTTTTTGTAGAGACCAAGTCTCACCATGTTGCCCAGGCTGGTCTCAAACTCCTAAGCTCAAGTATCCACCCGCCTTGGCCTCCCAAAGTGCAGGGATTACAAGCCTGAGTCACTGTACCCAGCCTCCATTGAGAACTTTCTTATAAGAAAATATCACCTAGTTTTTAGGAATTGACAAAGCAAGGAAAAAAAGTTCCTATAAATCTCCAGAGTACCTACTATGTGCCAGACACAGCCCAGGGTGCTGTGGCCCTGGAGGGTTCTAGTTTAATATTTCATGGAAAAAATATGACTTTGGTATTTCTGCTTCATAGACATGCCCTGTAGCTCACTAAACCAAGCCAGTGGTCAGGGTCAAAGAAAGAAATCTGATAACTGCTACAAATCACATATTCCAGACCTCTCTCCCTTTTCCTCTTCACCATTGGAAAACTAGACAAATAAGCAATGCAAAAGGACTTAGGAAAAGAGAAGAAATGGTCATGACCTGTTAATAAAACTGAACTTTTTGATCACATAAAACCTGCTTTCAGCTTGCCAGGTGAGTTAACATTCTTAATCCTTCAGTATAAACACTGTTCCTACACATTGCACGTGAGGAGCTGGTGTTCTGAGTTGGTTTATAAGCTTATCAGCATCATAAACAAATATTTCTTACATAGCCATGGACACCTTAGCTCTGAACAGACCATACAGATAGCAGATCAGGCAGATGACTTCACTGCTTAACCATCAAACCTAAGCAACCAAGACCCAGATTAGAGCATTTTCCACTGCATAGAACTGGAGAGGAGCACAAAAGCCACATACCTATTGCTTTTTCTCTGTTCTGCAAGATTTCCTGAATAACCAGAGGTCTGGTAAATTGGGCTTATGTTGGGCCTAGTAGAAATCATACTAATAGGGAATCTGAAGTACATTTGCAAAATGAGGACCAATACAAGGCCTGGGATCCTCTACCTACACCGGAGCAAAGGATAATGTGGAATGAAGCTATGGAAGCAGGTGAATTTCACATTCTTAATTTAAACGAGAAAAAAAAAAGTGGATATTGGCCACCTTTAGCTTAGTAAAAGCATCACCTAGTATGAATGTCATTTGCTCTACCATAAAATCACCTGAGACACTTGTTAAACAATAAATGTTCCTAAGACTTGCAATTAATGGTTCTGATGTCATCCAGGTGGGTTACAAATGAAAAATGCCACGTATTTATAACAAGGAAAACTATAGTGATCTAACAAAGTGAAAGAAGGGTTTCTGGTAAGTTCCCTGGGTTTTGTAGCAGTCGGTGTTTTAGTGGCAATGTTTTCACCAATTCACCAACCAGTCCTGAAGCAACGAACTCAAAAATTGCGATTTTTTAATTAAATGACCTCCCCAAACACCCTCGCTCTCCTGCCCTCCTCCTTTTTTTGGTGGAGGGGCTGTCTTTTAGTTAAGGATTCTTACTTTTCTTTTCCATATCTCATGAGTCTACAGCACAGACTGGATACCTTTTATTTTAGAAACTTCACTGAATCCACCAGCTTTCAGAAGAGACAATTTCTTTCCAAACCATTCTGAAGATATAAAATTATCCCTTATTGAAAAGGACTGTGACCTCAAAAGGAGGTTGTCAAGTCACCCATGTTTCCTTACAACTCCAAGAAGGATTAACAGAAAAAAACCCAAATGCTTTTGAATGCTTACAACTTGACTGGTGAATTAATTATATGTCATGCAGGGACATTCAAAGCAACATAAACTATGTAAACCACTTTCCTAACCGGTCAAAACACGAATATTAAATACATGTAGGTCAGGGGGAGATGAAAACTGAGAAAGTTTCAGGACTGTGACTTCAACAAATATCTGTAAACTACATCTTTTTTCTCCCTAGAGAATGAAAGGTGATCTATTTACTCCTGGTAGAGAAGAAAGGAGGACGGACGTCCAGGTGCTACCAGAAAACCATTCGTGAGGACATGGACCAGTGCCAAGGTCACAGCCCACCTGAACAGAACTTGAAATCGAGGCACACCCAGTCCAGGGGAGCCCTGGGTTCTTCCTGAACTTAAAACACCGGGGTAAAAAAAAAAGCTTTACTGACACAGGTGTGGGGACGCTGGTCCCCTCCCCACTGCGAGGTAGATACGCGAGGACAGCCTCAAAACAACTCGAGGCGCTTCGGGTGCCTGAACCTCACTCGGCGGGGGCGGCGCAGACGTCCACGTGCGGCACGGGAGCTGCGGAGGTGCCGGAGCCCGCGCTTTTGCCTGTGCGTCCCCGACCCCCTCATTGCCGCTCGGGGCTCCGGGTTCCCCCTATGCAAAAGGGGGACCGTGCTGTGTCATCAAGGACTGATGCGGAGAAGAACCCAGAAGGCGGCGTCAATAAGTAACGAAAGAGTAAGGTGGGCCGCGCCTATTATCGACGCTACCGAAGCAATTACTGCAACCGAGGCTCGAGAGTTAGAGCGCCGGAAATGCAAACTTTCCAGGGGACCAAACTCATCCAAGCCCCCTAAGGAGACTGAGGAGACCTCTGCCCGCGTTGGGCCCCGCCGCCGCCGCCTGAGGTCCGCGCCACCTTTCCCGCGGCAGGCGCCAGGCGGGGCGGGGCAGCGGCGGCGCGGGCCGGGCGGCGGGGAAGGGCGGGAGCGCGGGCGCACCCGCGGGCCACTGCCCCAAACGGCTGCGCTGGGCTCGCGGCGCCGGACCCCGAGCACCGCAGCCTCCGCCACCGCGACAGGCACTTCACCTCAGTCGTCGCGGCTCCCGGGGCAGTCGAGCCCCGCCGCGCTCGCTCCGGGCGGGCTCACCCTCCGCGCGGGACAGGGGGGCGCGGCGCGCAGTCCCGGCGCCCTCCTCGCCTCGCAGCCAAGCTCGGCCTGGGCCCCCCCCTCGCGGCGCCGGCAGGTGGAGGCGCCCCGTGCCCCGCGCCGCAGCCACCTCCCGCCGCGCGCCAGCCCGCGCGGGCGCAACTTTCTTAAAGGGACAGGTAGCCCGAATCCGCGTCCACCTGGGGCCCGGTCTCTGCCTACAGGCCGGTCCCGCGCTTTGGGGGAGAAAGGGGGTTGCCACAGATCTCTCCGCCCGCCCGCCCGCCTCATTTGCCCCAGGCCAGGGACAGATTACAAGTTTTGATGCACGCAGTCTCCTTTTGCAAATTTAATTCCCTTGGCCGAAATTACCCTCCCACTGCTCAACGCATGCTCGCGGGCGTGCAGTTGTTACTGTTGGCAAAGTTTGAAGAGGGGTGTCCCTACCCCTGCACCCCTCTGGCCCATCCCCCTCACACACACACCCAGAACCCCGGGGCGTGGAAGGCTCGCGGCTGCTGGGAAACACCCGCTGCAATCCCCTTGACCCTGCCCTGTAACTGACCCTTGGGGAAAAGCCCCCCGCACTGCTACTGCGCATGCTCTGAGCTGGACAGCTCCAGAGAGGGAAATTTAAAAACGGTTCGAGCTGCGACGGCGGCCAAATTGCGGAACGCGAGGGGCGAGCGCGAGGGAGCCCCCCTCCGGAACCCCTGCCCGCCCCAGGAGCGCCGGCAGCGGCGGCCCCGCGAGGATCGGCTTCAGGTACCGCCTTGCAGGGTCGGCTTTGCTCCCTCCTCCCGGGCAGCGCCGGGTATTGCATTTCGAGGATAGAAACCCGGGCGCAGGGGCTGCGGGGCCGCCTCCCTCTGCTTCCTTTTCCTCCTTCCTGGGAGTCCCTCGATGGCTTTAGGGGCGGAACTGAGAGCCTTTGGTGGGCTTTTATGTTGGTTCCGGCTTGGAGTTTGAGAAACTTAGGGAACTCAAAGATTGTTATTTTTTAAGGGAGTGTTTGTGTGTTGCGGGGGTGGGGGCAGTTGGATTGGTTTTCCAGTAAGGGCTTGTGGCATTTGTGAAGGCATTTCCAGGGCGGGAGCTTTCGGGGATTATTCCCTTTGCAAGCGGGAATTTGTTCCCCCAGAGAAACATGCATGTCACATCCAGCTGCCCCTTATTTTCAAAGTGATCATAACCAAACTGAGGTTGAAAATATAAGGCTTGGAAGGAAATCGGTTTTTGATTCCTATTTTGTGAGTTTACATTTTTCACGGTTTGACATTTGGATTCTAGAGGCTTCCCCTGCCCTACCCCCATTAATTCGAAAGAACCTTGAATTTCATTTCATTCTATTTATTTGCTTCTAAGAGCCTGTAGAATTGCCCTGGGAAAATGACCTGAGATGCCCAGGAATCCTCTAGAACTTTTTTCCTTTAAAGAAAACAAAAAAGTGTTCTGTGAGCTGATTGTGCTCCATCTTTCTGAATTGTGGGAAAACTGTGGGTTTCCGCCCTGTCCATATCGTCGCTGATGGGAGCTTTGTTTTCTGCTTGTCTTTTCCTAAGGAGATGATAGAAAGTGACATCTCATCTATAATGTCAGGAATTATTCGAAACTCAGGGCAAAATCACCACCCCTCTCCACAGGAATACAGGTGAGGGATCCAACAATAACAAACGATATATTTTTTGATTGCTGAAAGTGTGTATATGCTGTCTATGATTTCTGAAACACCCCAAGAACTATTGTTATGTTCAATTCTGTGATTTTTGCAGGAGAGCTGGAAGGTCTTGATTTCAAAGTTGGTCTTGCTAAGGGTGTCTGTGCCACAGCCTGGCCCAGTGGGACCACAAAATGTCTGCTGTCTCCTGTCCCCTCCAAAAGAGGTCCCTTTCTGCATTTGGCGCTTGATACTGTTTGGGCATCCTGGTGAATGTTAAGATGAAAACAGGAGCTACTGCTTCCCCTCCGGTAGCCTTAATGGGGGCTCTAGGAAATGCTTCCCCACCCCCCACCCCCTCCAAAAAAAAAAACCTTCTGGGAGGACTTGGCTTATATCCTCCATGGTTGTTAAAGTAGTCAGATCCGCTGTGTTCTCAGCCAGGCCGTGTGACATTCAGTAAATCCTTTGCCCTGGGCCTTACTTCCTCATCGTTTAAATGATCCTGTTGAATTAGATGATCTTACGGTTTCTTCTAGGCCTCCTGTGTTTGAAGAGTAAATTAGATGGAAACTGAGGCCAAAATAAATTATTTCTCAAAACAGGGTGAAGCAAGGTACCAGTGAGAGCATGCATGGAAGCCTTCAGAGCCCTTCTTTTTTTTTTTTTTGTCTTTAAACCTCATAGCTGAAAAAACCAGTCTGTGCATTGCCTCTTTTTTTAATAGTTGGGGAAACTGAGACTCAGAAAGGAGAAAGGACTTGTCCACAGTACCCAGGAGGGAAAAGGAGGAAAAGGAAGGACCTAGAGTCCCCTCATAGCTTCTCTCCCCTTAAGGCCAGGGAGGCCTGACGTGGTTTCCAGCGCTCCCCTGACAAAGCAAGCAACATGTCTGTAGGTTGAGGGGGCACAGTCCAGATTATGGAATGGGGACAGGACCTGGGCTGGCCTGGGAAGAGCCGGCTGTCACCTCCGATCAGTCCTGTTTACCCAGGGGTTGTCTGGCCCCCCGGGGTCACTGCAACTCACCAGCAGTGCCTGCTGGGGCAGACCACAGCCCCCAATTAGAGGGAGGCTGCTTCCTGAGGGCTGTGGGCCTGGAGGCTGCCTTCTGAGATCCAAATGAGGACACAGATTCAAACAGATATTTGCAGAGAGCCTGCTGTGTGCAGAGCTGGGACCAGGTGCGTGGCGGTTTGCAAGCACCTACTGTGCGCCGTCCCCCATCACTCACCTCATCTCGGGAGGCTGCTCTGATGAGCCCCGTTGTACAGGTGAGGAAACCGAGGCTTGGAAAAATGAAATGGCTTCTCCGAAGACCACACAGCCAAGGGCCTCTAGGCTTCCACACTCACAGGGTTTAAATATTGCCAGGTGAGTTAGTGGCAGTATAAGGGTTCGCAGCTTGAGCTCTCAAGTCCATTCTAATCCCAACTTCTCTGGCTGTGTGGAGCTGTCTGAGCCTCAGCTTCTTCATCTGTAGAATGGGAATAGAAATAGCACCTACTGCTTGGAGTTGTTATGAAAATTTAGTCATCATTTCTGGCTCTCCTGTTCACCGATTATGGGCAAATTCACCTGTGAACTTCCATAGTTTTGTACAATGGGGTTACTAAAAGCTACCTCTGGAGGGTTAAATGAGATATGTGTTATATTATCTACGAAGGTACCTGACACCCACCAGGCACTGAATGTATCCAGGGTGAATCTACCTCTGCCCTCCTAGCTGCAAGCCCGGGCAAGCTCATCCTTCCTCCAGGCTGGCTTTAAGAGCCCGAAGACATGGAATCTTACTGTTGCCTGAAAGCGCCCCTGAAGAACGCAGGAGACAGGGGAGGCAGAGAGTGAGAACGATTGCTAGGACTCAGACACGTGCAGGTTCAAAGCCCAGCTTTAGGCAGGACTTGTGACTTGCTTCTGTTTCTCATCTTTACAATGGGCATGATCAGGGTTCTTCCCTCATGCAGTTGCTGGGAAGATTATGTAAATAAACTTGTAGAGCAAGAGACACATAATTAGCAGTTGCTGCTGCTGCTGTTACCACTTAGTTACATTAGAGGGTACGGCTTCCTGCCAGAGACGCGTCTATGGCTTTCACGGTGGGAAGTGGGGAGGAACTTAGAGGGAGAAACCCTGAATCCAGATGCCCAGGTGCTGCCCAGGAGGGGTTCCTACCAGACTCAGCCCCGGAGTCTTGGCCCCATGCATCTGGGCCACTCAGCTGACAAACTGTCTGGGGCACTGAACGGCTGCCCCTCTCCAAAAACAGGGCAGGGCAAGCAGAGAACTTCTTAGGGGCCTAGCAATCCCTAGCCAGTCCATTGCCCAGCTAGCAGGGGTCAGGGGTGGAGGAATGGGGAGGAGAGGCAGGCCTGTTCCCATCAGCACAGGATCCAGAGGTGCCAGGCTCCTGGTCTGGCACAAGCCTTTCCTATTCATGTGGACTCAGGGCTGGGTTTGTTTTTGTTTTTTGTTTTTGTTTTTTGGTGAGACAGAGTCTCGCTCTGTCGCCCAGGCTGGAATGCAGTGGTATGAACTCAGTTCACTGCAACCTCTACCTCCCAGGCTCAAGCGATTCTCCTGCCTCAGCCTCCTGAGTAGCTGGGATTATAGGTGAGAGCAACCACACCCGGCTAATTTTGTATTTTTAGTAGAGACAGGGTTTGACAATGTTGGTCAGGCTGGTCTCAAACTCCAGGCTGGTCTGACCTCAAGTGATCCACCCGCCTCAGCCTCTTTCCAAAGTGCTGGGATTATAGGTGTGAACCACTGTGCCCAGCTGTGTTTTCTTATATCCAACAGCGAGAGTATCCAGAAAACAAAATAACATCGTAATAACAACAATAATAATAGTTGCTAGTGGTTTCTTAACCCTTTACTGCCTGCCTGCCCTGTGCCAGGGTCTTGGCGTAAACCCCATTAAATCCCCCAAACCACCGTATGAGGGTAGCACTCTTGTGCCCATTTGGTGAACGAGGAAACCAAGGCTGAGCCTGTTTAAACGGCTTAACAAGATGCCACAGCTCGTGACGGATACAGTGGAGACTTGGCCCCAAATTTGTTGTACCTTGAGAGTATTCGTAACCATCATTTGTGACCACTGGCCCCAAGTCCCACTGGCCATGGCACAGAATCAACTGCTCCATCACTTCACTGCCGTGTGACCCTGGCTGAGCCATGCCTCTCTCTGAGCCTCAGGTTCTTCATCATGAAATGGGGCCACCAGAGACCCCGACGTGCAGGTTTGCTGGGAGGATTCTGCAACTCCAGTGGGTCAGGGTGTTCAGAGAGGCCTGGGAGAAAGTGTTTTCTTGTGGAAGGGGAGTTTTATGATTACATAGTGACTCCCTGCTTCCAACCACTCCCATTTTTCTCCCCAAATAATAGCCCAGGAGAAGTTTATGGGCTTCTCATTCGCCCTCCCACATCTCCAGAGAAGGGCTCCAAGGATCAGGCAGCCTGCTGCTCCAGTCTCTCGGGCAGCCGCCTGGCTCTCCGTCCCCCTGGGGCCGTATTTGGCCGTTAATTTTCAATGGTGTGTGCAGGAGGGCGGGGGTAGCAGCTAGAGGCGGCTGCCCTGTCCCTGGGGAGCTGTCAGGAGTCAGTGGCGGGGCCTAGACAGCAAATTGGCAGCAGCCTCTCAGCCCTGGACTGGGGGTGGTCCTGACCTCTTGGGCAACGGTAAAAAGGCTCCATGCTCAATGTGGGTTAGCTGCGTTTCTCTCTAGCTTAAGAGGTGGGAGGAAAGTCCACCCTGAGAGGTGCTAAAACAGAGTTATTAAGTACCTACTATGTGCCAGGCACCTGCAAAACATCTTAGCAAGGGCACAGTCTCGTTTCTTTTTTTTTTTTTTTTGAGACAGACTCTGGCTCTATAGTCTGGGCTGGAGTGCAGTTGTGCGATCTCGGCTCACTGCACTCTCTGCCTCCTGAGTTCAAGCGATTCTTCTGCCTCAGCCTCCCGAATAGCTGGGATTACAGATGCCCACCACCACGCCTAGCTAATTTTTGTATTTTTAGTAGAGACGGGGTTTCACCATGTTGTCCAGGCTGGTCTTGAACTCCTGACCTTAAGTGATCCGCCTGCCTCGGCCTCCCAAAGTGCTAGGATTACTGGTGTGCCATTTCTTTACAGTAACAACCATGAGACGGGTACTGACATTATCCCAATTTACAGATAAGGATACTGAGGCCAAAAGACATGACTTGCTCAAAGGCACACATTTATGAAGGGGCAGAACTGTACATTATTAGTCGCCTGCCCCCACCTTTTGGAATTTATTCTAGAGGTCAGGTCCACCAAGCTCCTTTTACAGTTTGGGAAACTAAGGCCCAGAGAGATGATGGAAGGCAGGCTTCTGGCTTCTTGGATGCTCACCTTCTCCCAGGGCCACCAGGCTTAGTGGTCCTCCTTCAGGATCCTCGTGCTGGATGTTCACTTCCCAAAATTTCAGCCCCTGCTCTAAGAAGTGAGGCCACCTTTGGGGAAAGCCCTTCCCCTCTCTAGATGGTGGTTCTCTTATCTGTGAACTGCAATGCTGGGCACATGGTAGATAAAAATTAATACATATTTACTAGATAGATGGATGAATGGACAAATATCACATGAAAATAACATATCCATGGAAACACAGGCTTCATGTTCAAGGGATGATACATTTCTCTTGAACCCACACTGTGTGTGGGGATAGTTTATACCATGTGGCTTCACCCATCAGTCGTTATCTCCTTGGAAGGGGCTCCATTTCTCAAGGGCAGTAACCATCCCGATGTCTTCCCATCCCTTCACCCTCAGGGTGGAGAAAACAGCTCCTCGGGTGACCTTATGGGCAAGGAAGATAAGTAGCCTCTCTTCAGTCTGCAGTCCAACTCTCTATCCAGGTCTTCCAGTTTCATCCCTAAAAAACACATGTGTGCGTGCGCCCACACACACATACACACTCTAAGTCCCAAGCCAACACTTGTTCTAAAAACGAAAGACTATTTTATCCAAA